GTTCTTGACTATAACTGGAACTTCATGAAAAATTTCAAAGCCATCAGCGCGATATTTCTCCCTCTAATGTGGTAATGGGTTACTAAATAATATCTGAATACGTAAGCACTTGTAAATATTTGACTGTAACTCCCACATCTGAGTAGATACATCACTATATTTGGTATCAATTTAAAGGCCAACCACTCCTCTTGGATAGGCTATCAACTCCTGGGGTCTACATCCTCCAGGAGTAAATATATATGCCATAGAATACAAATTTTGCCCTTTTTCACACAAAAGTCAGGGTCCATTTGACCCGCTAAATATTGACCGATCTTTATCAAAACATGCATGCTTATTCTCTGGCCCGATCCCCTTCTCCATGCAAAATTTCGCGGTGTTTGGGCCATAATTGCGGCCTCTGGAGCGACCAGAAAAACCGACAAAAATTTAGTATTTGGTCCATTTCATCCCCTAAATATTAACCGATCTTTTCCAAAAACAATAGGGGTCTTCATTGGCCAGAACCCATCCTACATGCAAAATTTCGTGAAGATTGGTCCATAACTGTGGCCTGTATCGTGTTTACAAATTATAATGGACAGACGGACGGACGGACGGACACACATGTCTAGATCGACTCAGCTAGTCGAGATATGACGATCGGTATACTTAAAGGTGGGTCTAGGACCAATATTTCGCGGCGTTACAAACATTTGGGGCTGCACAAAGCTATAATACCCTGACAACATAGTTGTGTAGGGTATAAAAATCCACGCTTGCGTTGGTTCTTGAAAAAATATTCTTTAAAAAATCCACGCCTGCGTTGGTTCTTGAAAAAATATTCTTTAAAAAATCCACGCCTGCGTTGGTTCTTGAAAAAATATTCTTTAAAAAATCCTTGAAAAAATATTCTTTAAAAAATCCACGCCTTCGTTGGACCTTGAAAAAATATTCTTTAAAAAATCCTTGAAAAAATATTCTTTAAAAAATCCTTGAAAAAATATTCTTTAAAAAATCCACGCCTGCGTTGGTCCTTGAAAAAATATTCTTTAAAAAATCCACGCCTGCGTTGGTTCTTGAAAAAATATTCTTTAAAAAATCCACGCCTGCGTTGGTTCTTGAAAAAATATTCTTTAAAAAATCCTTGAAAAAATATTCTTTAAAAAATCCACGCCTGCGTTGGTCCTTGAAAAAATATTCTTTAAAAAATCCTTGAAAAAATATTCTTTAAAAATGCACGCCTGCGTTGGTCCTTGAAAAAATATTCTTTAAAAAATCCACGCCTACGTTGGTCCTTGAAAAAATATTCTTTAAAAAATCCACGCCTACGTTGGTCCTTGAAAAAATATTCTTTAAAAAATCCACGCCTACGTTGGTCCTTGAAAAAATATTCTTTAAAAAATCCACGCCTACGTCGGTCCTTGAAAAAATATTCTTTAAAAAATCCACGCCTACGTTGGTCCTTGAAAAAATATTCTATAAAAAATCCACGCCTGTATTGGTCCTTGAAAAAATATTCTTTAAAAAATCCACGCCTGCGTTGGTCCTTAAAAAAATATTCTTTAAAAAATCCGCGCCTGCGTTGGTCCTTGAAAAAATATTCTTTAAAAATCCTTGAAAAAATATTCTTTAAAAAATCCACGCCTGCGTTGGTCCTTGAAAAAAAAATCCTTGAAAAAATATTCTTTAAAAAATCCACGCTTGCGTTGGTTCTTGAAAAAATATTCTTTAAAAAATCCACGCCTGCGTTGGTTCTTGAAAAAATATTCTTTAAAAAACCCACGCCTGCGTTGGTTCTTGAAAAAATATTCTTTAAAAAATCCTTGAAAAAATATTCTTTAAAAAATCCACGCCTTCGTTGGACCTTGAAAAAATATTCTTTAAAAAATCCTTGAAAAAATATTCTTTAAAAAATCCTTGAAAAAATATTCTTTAAAAAATCCACGCCTGCGTTGGTCCTTGAAAAAATATTCTTTAAAAAATCCACGCCTGCGTTGGTTCTTGAAAAAATATTCTTTAAAAAATCCACGCCTGCGTTGGTTCTTGAAAAAATATTCTTTAAAAAATCCTTGAAAAAATATTCTTTAAAAAATCCTTGAAAAAATATTCTTTAAAAAATCCACGCCTGCGTTGGTCCTTGAAAAAATATTCTTTAAAAAATCCTTGAAAAAATATTCTTTAAAAATGCACGCCTGCGTAGGTCCTTGAAAAAATATTCTTTAAAAAATCCACGCCTACGTTGGTCCTTGAAAAAATATTCTTTAAAAAATCCACGCCTACGTTGGTCCTTGAAAAAATATTCTTTAAAAAATCCACGCCTACGTTGGTCCTTGAAAAAATATTCTATAAAAAATCCACGCCGTGTATGAATGAAAAATTATTCTATAAAAAATCCACGCCGTGTATGAATGAAAAAATATTCTATAAAAAATCCACGCCGTGTATGAATGAAAAAATATTCTATAAAAAATCCACGCCTACGTCGGTCCTTGAAAAAATATTCTTTAAAAAATCCACGCCTGTGTTGGTCCTTGAAAAAATATTCTTTAAAAAATCCACGCCTACGTCGGTCCTTGAAAAAATATTCTTTAAAAAATCCACGCCTACGTTGGTCCTTGAAAAAATATTCTATAAAAAATCCACGCCTGTATTGGTCCTTGAAAAAATATTCTTTAAAAAATCCACGCCTACGTTGGTCCTTGAAAAAAAATTCTATAAAAAATCCACGCCTGTGTTGGTCCTTGAAAAAATATTCTTTAAAAAATCCACGTGTTGGTTCTTGAAAAAATATTCTATAAAAAATCCACGCCTGTGTTGGTTCTTGAAAAAATATTCTATAAAAAATCCACGCCTGTGTTGGTTAGTCCTTGAAAAAATATTCTATAAAAAATCCACGCCTGTGTTGGTTAGTCCTTGAAAAAATATTCTATAAAAAATCCACGCCTGTGTTGGTTAGTCCTTGAAAAAATATTCTATAAAAAATCCACGCCTGTGTTGGTTAGTCCTTGAAAAAATATTCTATAAAAAATCCACGCCTGTGTTGGTTCTTGAAAAAATATTCTATAAAAAACCCACGCCTGTGTTGGTTCTTGAAAAAATATTCTTTAAAAAATCCACGCTTGTGGGTCCTTGAAAAAATATTCTATAAAACATCCACGCCTGTGTTGGTCCTTGAAAAAATATTCTTTAAAAAATCCACGCCTGTGTTGGTCCTTGAAAAAATATTCTTTAAAAAATCCACGCCTGTGTTGGTCCTTGAAAAAATATTCTTCAAAAAATTCACGCCTGTTTTGGTCCTTGGAAAAAATTCTTTAAAAAATTCACGCCTGTTTTGGTCTTTGGAAAAAATACTTCATAAAATCCACGCCTTTTTTAGTCCTTGAAAAATATACTTTAAAAATCTATTCTTATTTTGGTCCTGAGGCCACATCCCGATCAATTCGCCTTCCTTCAAAAATTTATTTTCGCGTTTAATTGCATTATTAAACAATTACTTGGCATTGCAATTCTGAAGCATTACACTTCAGCACTTAACCTTTTGTACATGTGTGGGTGTGTGTGTGTGTTGGTGTATTTGTGTTAAAAATAAATTGATTGATTTAAAATTGTTTTCTGCAAAGCCAATTTATATCTTATAGTAGAGTAAATAATAAATATGTATGTATGCAAGCATGAATACAATCAAAAGAATTCAGAAATCATTCAAAAAGGGTGGGTCAAAGGAAATTGAACTGAAATCGCCCCGAACACACACACACGTGGTCAGTTGCTCTTTGTGAATGAATGAAATTGAAATTTGTTGTGCAGAAATTGAGCAGAAAATTTCCATAGAAGATTCATTCAAATTTGAGTGGATTTTTTTTTTGCAGACAATGAATTTTTGCAGCCACCCTTAGATGAGGATTAGTGAGAGACTGAGAGCGTGAGCTACACACACCGAAGTGAATGAATTTTTGCAAGGTACGCAGATTGCCTGCCCACCCATCCTTTGATGGAAAAATAAGGGCATGTTGAATGTTATAATGGTGACAGGATAAAGGCCAGGCTGTGCCTTGCTAGCAATGGTGGTGAGTCCTTTTTAGTGTATTGTGTGCGCACCCCTCTCTCATTGCTTGGCTGCTTTTCTGGTGTCTGTGTGTGTGTGTGCGAGTGAGTGCCACTGTTCTAAAGTGTGTTAGAGGAATTGTGGAAAACCATTTTTTTGTTATCGACTAAAAGAATTTTTAACCAACCACCTTAGATTCAGTTGTGTTTCAAACACAAACAGACAAACACGTCACCCAAAACGGTCCGTATTTTTCGAACCGCTCGAACGATCGAATAGAAAAAATTTCATATCATCGAGAGGTTAAATTGTCAAAGAAAAACAAAAATAGCGAAGTAGAAAAAAAAAACAACTATTTTATATATAGAAAAAAAATAAAATCACACACACACACACACCCATACATACGTACTCGAAATAAAAGTGCTCAATAGAATAGCAAAAGAAATCAACAACAGCAGCAAGGATATATTCGTTGTCCTGGCAGAGTTTTATATATTTTTTTATTTCTTGGTTTGCTTTGCTAATACGTGAATGCGTCCTCTTCGTCCTGCTCCTCCTCGAGTCTCTGTGTGTGTACATTTTTTTATTCAACGTTAAGCGAGTAGACAGTAAACGTTTGTTAACGACGGTTGCGGACACACAACAAAGGATATGAACGATTTAAATGTAAAACGTTGATGATCGTGAAAGGACGTACGTTTTTTTGCGGATGAATAAAATATATTTTGCTGTGACAATTTCCTAACAACAAATTACAAGCAAGGTTTCCCAACAAAGAAATTAATTTTTGGAAACAAGTGAAAATTAATTTTGGAAAAAAAAAGAAAATTTTTAAAATAAAAAAAAAAACAATGTTTAAATTGTGAAAGAAAATTAACAACAAAATATAAACAAGTGAAAAAACAATAACAAATTAAAAAGAAAATAATTTAAATCTCCTTTGAAAAAAGTTATAAACAAACAAACCATGTCTTCCTCGGAACACGACGTCGATATCAGCGTGGTCTCCAGTCCTGAACCCAGTCCCATGGGCTGTGGCCAGGAGGGCCGTGAATCACCGCTACGCTCCACATCGCCGGCCCGTTCACCCGGTGCCTCTACACCCAATTCCATGCACACCCCCACCTCGGCAGCCGGTACACCTACCTCTTCGCAACACAATTATCACCAGCCCCCCGTTCATCATCTGCATCAGAGTAGCCCCACCAGCAGCAGCACCACCACAATGGCCACTGCCGTACCACCAACAGTCCTACATCATCATTTGCAACATCATTTGAATTCTCTAAATGCCGGTCATCATCATCCAGTCTCCTTACATCATGCCTTGCATGCCAGTTTTGGCCATCTCACACATCCGGCACATCAACATTTATTACAACATCCTGCCGCAGTGACACCGACGGTTGTTTCGCATTTTGCCGCAGCGGCGGCTGCTTCTTCATCGGCCGCTAATAATAATAATGGTGTTGATCGTTTAAGTCCAACACCACCCTCACTGGCGGCCCATGGTGCTCCAAAATCCCCGGAATCCACAACAACAGAGGAATCACAAAATAACAATAACAACAACAATAATAGTAAAATGTTAAATAACAATAATACGGCAAATGGTGATAACAGTGTTGGTAGTGATCAACCGTCGGGTGGCGGAGCGGCTGCCGCCGCCGCAAATGGTAAAGTTACATCGGGTAATGGTTTTACCAGCTTCTCAATTTCATCGATTCTTAGCCGTAATGAACCGACGAAAAAGAACGGTTCAAATTTAATAACTCCCATACCTCAATTACCGCCGGCCACTGTCGGTGCCGGTGGACCACAGGATGCTGCCATGTTGTCAAGGTAAGTTGGGGGGGGAACATTATTAAAAAAATTTAAAAATAAATTCAGTTCAGTTAGATTGAAAGTAAATGAAGGTTAATGTAAGAATTTATGGATTAAAATAGATTTGACTTTTTTATAGAAGCCTCCATATTTATTTATAAAACAGATAAGTTTTTATTAATTGGTGAAAAAAATCTAATTGAATTTCTAATTCTACAGAAAATAATAATAAATAAATTTATTTAAAGACCTGTAAAAAATGATTGGGTTATTTTTGAATTTGAAAATTATCTTAAAAATATTTGAATTTATGGAATGTTTGGAACCTTATTACGATTCTTCTATAAATCGTCCATTGTTTTCTCATCTTTTGAAGTGATTAATAAACCTTAATCGAATTTTGAGCTCGGCTTCGATCATAGCCTAAAAATGGTGTGAAAATCTTGGCTCCATAACCGAATTTTAGAAACCTGCAAATAGACACGCTTTCGAAACTGAATTTTAACAACAATTTTATTGAAATAAAATTATTTTAAAATTAAAGCACAATTTGTGGGTAATTTAAATTCGGACGATGAGGTATTAGGGTGTCGAGGTTTGAAATAATTTTGAGAAATGAATTGATAAGTTATTTGTGATCCCGTGAACGCAGATTTTTCTGAATTTCCACACCTTTTGGTTATAATTCCTAATAGTTTTTAATCTTCATGTACAATTTCACAGTGAATAGTAAATCGTCCTGCAAAATTGTTCAATATACAATGTGTTCTCATCCCAAAAATAAATTATTTCAATCCGATTTCAATAATAATGACCCAAGCTTTAGTTCCCTTAATTGTAAGGCATATAACCTTTTTCAGAGGAATTTTTAACATGAAATTCACATTCACTTAGTGATTAGAAAATCCCCCTGAAAAAAATGTTCTGGGTTCACTTTTTGCAGGCCGATATAGCTCCTATATGATTTGTTCGCACGATTTTTCGGCCGATCTGATTGAGATATTATTTTTTCGCAATGTCAGGGGATAGGGAAATTTTCTTCGAAGTAAAATATCGTGAAATGTTTTTAAGCAGATTATCCTGCGTAAATTTTTACCAGAATATGTCATGTTGAAATTACATTTCAGAAATAAAATTGGCTCAGATCCGTTATAAGGTCTTTTCGATTTTATATTTTTCTGCAATTCAGAAATACTTTTCCTACACATTTGTTCAATTTCAAGTCTGTAGAGAATTCTATTCGTATATTGGATCTCAGAAAAAACGAATTCCTTAATTTTTCCCTACTGATTTTTTTGTGTTCAGAACCTAAACAGATCAACATTCAATGTAGCAGTATTTAGGCCTTGAGTGACTAAGTGTTCCAAGCTTCGTTTGATATTTCTAAATTAAAAAAAACTCAATTCTGAGTCAATTTAAATGATATTTCCGTTTTATCCGGACACATATTATGCAAAAATATTTATATGAGCGAATTTGAGTTTTGTTTTATTTCTGTCTCATTTGTTACAATTCATTTTCGGCACCTAGACATCTGACCACAGGACATAGATACATGATCCCTAAATGGATGCAAACCTCCATTTCAGATTTTTTCAAATCCACAATTTGGATCATTTTTTTCAAATTTAAAAGATCTGATTTTTGTTTGGGCTCCAACTTTTCGTTGTCATAAATGTGACAATCCCTCGCTATTTAAATCCAGATTATAGAATGGAGTCAAAATTGAATATCTCTAAACGAATGAATTAATTTGAGATCAATGCAATTTAATGGTTCCGAATATGTTTTTTAAATCCATAGTTTTTTCAGTTTAATTAAATCCGAATCTGAATTGAAAAAATTGCCTAGGGACAAATATTTCAAAAAAAAAAAGGAAAAATTCAAATTTTCGAAACTTTCAGTGTCTCTAGATTGTGGGCCACTGAATTCAAAAAATTGATTTGTGTCCTTTTTTCTTATCAGGATAATCGACAGGATCAATTTTTGGACTGTGGCCGTATGTTCACACTAGCACTGCTCGGGTACAGGTTTTTTAGATGATTTATTGATCGTATTATGAGTGTGACCATATGGTCAATATTATAAATATATATCCAATTTTAAATAAATGAATATCCTCTTAGCAGCCCCTCAAAGCTCAGAAATATATTATGGCGATTTTTTTAATATTATAAAAATTTATCAGTAGTGTTTGGCGGGTTATTTGGGATACCATTTGTATTTTGTTTTTGCAAAATAGTCAGGCTTAATCCCAGTTTGTTGTTTTTATAAAAAACAACTATTTATTAGTGGGGAATGTATGGCATTGTCCGCCGAGGGGTAAGGCAGGGAAGACTATAGTTTCGGATCTCGCCACTGATCCTCATCAGTTCCCTTAGTTTTTTGTTGGGATATTCTCCCCAGAAGCTATTAATAGCTTCTTTACAAAAAACCTTTCAAACCCAAATGTCTCTTGTGACAATTCGAAGTTCTTACGTTACCAGCGATACGACCCCAATGAGAAGTTCGTTTCGTTGGCGCCTGACTTCGTGGTCAACAAGGCATTTACAGACAACTACAATACATTTCCCACTGCTATGTGTCGTCACTTTGTGACGAATGCACATAACGTTGTTGTTGGCATTGCTAGTTAAAGCAATAAACCAAACAGTATGACCGTGCCTCGTCTACAACTTCAGTAGTGTTTGGCGGGTTATTTGGGATACCATTTGTATTTTGTTTTTGCAAAATAGTCAGGCTTAATCCCAGTTTGTTGTTTTTATAAAAAACAACTATTTATTAGTGGGGAATGTATGGCATTGTCCGCCGAGGGGTAAGGCAGGGAAGACTATAGTTTCGGATCTCGCCACTGATCCTCATCAGTTCCCTTAGTTTTTTGTTGGGATATTCTCCCCAGAAGCTATTAATAGCTTCTTTACAAAAAACCTTTCAAACCCAAATGTCTCTTGTGACAATTCGAAGTTCTTACGTTACCAGCGATACGACCCCAATGAGAAGTTCGTTTCGTTGGCGCCTGACTTCGTGGTCAACAAGGCATTTACAGACAACTACAATACATTTCCCACTGCTATGTGTCGTCACTTTGTGACGAATGCACATAACGTTGTTGTTGGCATTGCTAGTTAAAGCAATAAACCAAACAGTATGACCGTGCCTCGTCTACAACTTCAGTAGTGTTTGGCGGGTTATTTGGGATACCATTTGTATTTTGTTTTTGCAAAATGGCGGGTTATTTGTTTTTATAAAAAACAACTATTTATTAGTGAAGTTGTAGACGAGGCACGGTCATACTGTTTGGTTTATTGCTTTAACTAGCAATGCCAACAACAACGTTATGTGCATTCGTCACAAAGTGACGACACATAGCAGTGGGAAATGTATTGTAGTTGTCTGTAAATGCCTTGTTGACCACGAAGTCAGGCGCCAACGAAACGAACTTCTCATTGGGGTCGTATCGCTGGTAACGTAAGAACTTCGAATTGTCACAAGAGACATTTGGGTTTGAAAGGTTTTTTGTAAAGAAGCTATTAATAGCTTCTGGGGAGAATATCCCAACAAAAAACTAAGGGAACTGATGAGGATCAGTGGCGAGATCCGAAACTATAGTCTTCCCTGCCTTACCCCTCGGCGGACAATGCCATACATTCCCCACTAATAAATAGTTGTTTTTTATAAAAACAACAAACTGGGATTAAGCCTGACTATTTTGCAAAAACAAAATACAAATGGTATCCCAAATAACCCGCCAAACACTACTGAAGTTGTAGACGAGGCACGGTCATACTGTTTGGTTTATTGCTTTAACTAGCAATGCCAACAACAACGTTATGTGCATTCGTCACAAAGTGACGACACATAGCAGTGGGAAATGTATTGTAGTTGTCTGTAAATGCCTTGTTGACCACGAAGTCAGGCGCCAACGAAACGAACTTCTCATTGGGGTCGTATCGCTGGTAACGTAAGAACTTCGAATTGTCACAAGAGACATTTGGGTTTGAAAGGTTTTTTGTAAAGAAGCTATTAATAGCTTCTGGGGAGAATATCCCAACAAAAAACTAAGGGAACTGATGAGGATCAGTGGCGAGATCCGAAACTATAGTCTTCCCTGCCTTACCCCTCGGCGGACAATGCCATACATTCCCCACTAATAAATAGTTGTTTTTTATAAAAACAACAAACTGGGATTAAGCCTGACTATTTTGCAAAAACAAAATACAAATGGTATCCCAAATAACCCGCCAAACACTACTGAAGTTGTAGACGAGGCACGGTCATACTGTTTGGTTTATTGCTTTAACTAGCAATGCCAACAACAACGTTATGTGCATTCGTCACAAAGTGACGACACATAGCAGTGGGAAATGTATTGTAGTTGTCTGTAAATGCCTTGTTGACCACGAAGTCAGGCGCCAACGAAACGAACTTCTCATTGGGGTCGTATCGCTGGTAACGTAAGAACTTCGAATTGTCACAAGAGACATTTGGGTTTGAAAGGTTTTTTGTAAAGAAGCTATTAATAGCTTCTGGGGAGAATATCCCAACAAAAAACTAAGGGAACTGATGAGGATCAGTGGCGAGATCCGAAACTATAGTCTTCCCTGCCTTACCCCTCGGCGGACAATGCCATACATTCCCCACTAATAAATAGTTGTTTTTTATAAAAACAACAAACTGGGATTAAGCCTGACTATTTTGCAAAAACATAAAAATTTATCTTTTTTATTAATTTTTTTTTTTTGAAAATGTCAACCCTTTAGATTTTATTCTTTATAAAGACTGACTCTAAACATATGTCCTTTTTGTGGGTGTTTTTCCCCCATTCCCAGATTTTCAATTCAAATGCAACAATCTATTCCCAGTAACAAGATCTCTGTCCAAGATAAATCTTGGAATTATTGCAACAAATCACTAACAAATTCTATTCCCATTAAATCTCTCAGTTAATGATGCATCAATTCCCCAAGCACACGTTCCACGTTCTATGCAAACCCAGAGATTTCTTATCAGGCAAACGT